CTCAGTTTTAAGACAACAGCAGTCCTCAGCAGCACTCCTGATTCAGCCCCTGCTGTGCACTTGAGATCTCCCAGTTCTCTCCAGCAAGTCTTCCCATTGCTCTCCTGGGACACTCGCCTTCCCCACAGGGTTTGTTTCTTCCTCTGCCATAAGCTCTCAGCCTGTGACAGGGACTCTTCATGAGCAGTGTTCAAACTCATCCCTGTAACTGAGACTGCTGCCTGGACCTGAGATCCTGTGCTGGTGCACATGAGCATCACCCTGAAAGGCAGCACTGCCAATTTGTCATCTGTTTTTAGAGAAGTGCAGAGCCCTTTGAGGAGGGAAATTCTGTAATTGAAGAGAAATTAGCAGTGCATACCAAGATAAAAGGAGGCCAGCCCTGGATACTGGTAGGATATCAGACTCAGGCAAGTGGCATGCATCTCTGAAGCCAATCAGATCATCAGGTAATGATTAATAAAGACCTATGAACCAATGATTATAACTAAATTCAAATGAGCATGTGAGTCTGTGCATAAAGTCAGTGGTAGATGTCCTTGTTTGTGGATAAGAGCTGTGAGCCTGAACTTGGCATGAAGTAACAGTAATTCTCACTAGCTTGTAAATGGCATTACTAAGAGAGGCAAGACAGTTTTTCCACAGTAGTAACTGCAGTGATACACAGTCTGCATTGAGACCCAGAGCATGCTGGGACAGAATGTTAATGATCATCCAGGTGAAGTTAAATGTAGATTGTGAAATTCCTTTCTGCCCTTCAGATCCTGATTAAAAGAGGACAAAGGTTAAGACAGCTATCATGGTATTACAGGATATTAGCATGCTTCATTGGATACTATAAGTAGGTGGCAGTATAACCTGTACTTCCACTTAGCCTTGAACTTCAGACGATGTATTAATTCTGTAATTTAGGACTACTAACAAACTATTCCCAAATGTCAGTAGATTAAAGCCACATTTTGTTATTATAGCTGAGGGTTCTGTGAGTTGATTCAGTTAAGGAAGGTCATAGTATTTAAGATTCTCATGCAGTTTTTCCTTCTTCCTTCCTTCCTTCCTACCTCTCCACCCCGTGTGTGAGTGTGTGTGTGTGTGTGTGTGTGTGTGTGTGTGTGTGTGTGAGAGAGAGAGAGAGAGAGAGAGAGAGAGAGAGAGAGAGAGAGAGAGAGAGAGAGAGATTGAGTTTATATAGGGTTGTTTATAAAAGCATGTGTTATGGCTCTTTACAGGACTGTAGGAACTGCAGTGAAGGACTCCAGATCTCCAGGGAGGGGTGGGGACTCATAAATCCCTGCCTCTGATTTGTTCATTTCTAGTCTATCATATCTAGTCTAACTCTGGAATCCTGAACTTTGTGGAAGTCCATGGGAGTGGCTGTTCCCTAGTGGTCCCCACCCCCTTGTTAGAATGGTCACCTTATTAAAGCAGCGTCCACACTCATCTGGAGCTGCAGCTGGGGCGCTGAGTGGAGAGGAAGCCCGGACTCTCACTAGGTCAGTTCTCTCTTTTATAACCTGTGTGACATGTTCTCATTTCTGCATCACTGGAAAGTAGCTTTTCAGTGCTTTATTTATTATGCATTAATTGTACAGAACAGCTGGTTTTATTATGTAATTTCCACTCATGTATGTTATATACTTTGATCATATTCACTTCTCGCTACCTTTAATTTTTACCTGTGTTTGATTTCTGATTCATATGAATTCTTTTGTGACTGAACGTCGAATAGCAAGCTATTTCTCTTTCTCTTTTCCTTCTCTGTTCTCTGTCGTCCCCCCACCCCTCCTCTCCTCCCCCTTCTCCCTCCTTCCTCATCCTGGTTTTCAGTCTTCTCTTCTTCTGTTCCTTCCCTCGTCTCCTACTCCTCCTTTTTCTCCTTCTGCTTCTCTGTCTGTTCCCTCCTCCCACCTCCTCCTCCTTCAGAGTCACTGAGCCGAAGGGTGGGGTTTAATGTATTTGCAAGGGACTCTAAATAATGGGATTCAGGATAGTGAGGAGTAGACCTGGACTGTCCTCTCAGGGAAACCTAAGATCAATAGCGTTCTTCCCTTGAATTGCATGTGCCAATCTCACAGAGAACTTGCACATTCCTCTCAGGTGAGAACTTAAATTTACCCAGACTCTCCCAGACCACCCTCCCAAAGCACTTCCCCAATTGGGTTTTCTACCACATTTGTCTGTCGTGTGGATTCTGATTGCTTTGATAGTTCTGTTTAAATAGCAGAGTAGCAGGTTTCACACTTAGGATTTGTTACTTTATTACTATCTTAATATTTAATTGCCCAACACAATCTCTGTTATTAAATGGTAAGCCCAAGAAATCAAATGGAAAAGAAATGATTGAGAAACTATTGTTCCCTGGGAGATCTGAGGACTGTGGACTGAGCCTTCCATCATGCACCAGGGAGAAGGCTGTCTACTTATTAACTCCATGTTCATAGATGTGTGTAGGAGGGAATGAACGGGAGACAAGAAAACAGTTTAAAATCCTGTAAGAAGACATGGCAGGAAGAATGAGTCTGTAGAAGAACGAGGTTAAATACAAACTCTGACTCTAAGCAGTTATGTGGCCAATCCTATGCTAAGGTTCAAAGCATTCATCACGAATATGGAGAAGGCTAGTGGACCCTTAACTTGTGCAGCTCTAAAACAGGGAGATTAAAGAGAGAGCCACACAGCCCAGCAGAGATGTCACTTATAAGGTACAAGTCCCCATAAGGCTGCAAGGCCATAGCCTCAGTGAAGCTGTGGAGTAACTGCAACCCAGGGAAGACAGGATGAAAGTCTTCTTTGAAAGCCTCAGAATCTCAGAGTCCCTGTGAGGTCTCCAGTACTGAAGCTGTCCAGGGTAATCTAGAGCTCATGGAGAAACAAAAAGAAAAGACAAAACTGACCAGAGCTTTATAATGTGCTGCAGACAGCTGTCAGGTGCCCATGAGGAGCAGCTGTAGCCTGACGGAGGCAGACATCTGAGGGCTGAGGCTGGGGGATGCTGACCCTGCAGACAGAGGCCACCTGGGCGGAACAGCCAGGAGCTTACTTCTCAGGCTGGAAGGCTTCTCACCCTAGCCCTGGCCTAAACTGGCTGAGGGAATGATGGTGCTTGGGTTGAATTCTCAGGAGCAGTAGTATGCAGAGCCTACTGTTCTGTTAGGGCTGGCTCCCTAAGTCTGGGGTCCAGACACGATTTTAGCCCATGTAGACCAAAGCCCAAATGAGTTCCTTCCAACCATATTGTCCTTTGGCCTTGGGAACTGCTCACTGCAGGTGATCATGAAGCTTCCATCACACTCCTTAAAAATAGAAATACACTTGTATATAAACCAGGAAGAAGGCATTGGAGAAAGGAAAAGGACATGGGTTATTGTGCACATGTGAATTGTTTTCTGTCTGAAGATTCCAGTCACACAGCTTTCACACAGGAATACAGTGAGAGGGGAGAGCACTGGGGCTGAGACCACCACAAGCCGCAGCCCACACAGAGAACATTAGTTATTTCCTACCTAGAGGTCGGGAGCTGAAGGGGACTCACACATGGCACTTGGAGGTTCCAGAGGACTTTTCCTCCTGCCCCCTTCTTGTCTGTGCATCTCGAAGAGTTTAGATTCTCTTTGCCTACAAATGCTAAATGTTGTGACCAAGAGATATTGTATGTTACAACTCTTGAAACCAAGTGATAATAAAGGCCAGAGAGAGAGCTCAAGGCAAGGTGCTGCCACCAAGGCTGACGGACTGAGGCAAACCTGGAACGTGGTGACAAGAGAGAACTGCCTCCAGTTGCTCTCTGACCTCTCTGTGTACTCAGAGGGCCGCATGTGCACACATACAAACACAGACACACCAACCAACAAGTAAAGGATAAAAAACAACCCTGTGTTAACAGAACTGAAACTGTCCCCCTCTACGTCTGAGTGACTGAACTCCTCCTGGCTGTTTAGTGAATCCTGTAACTTTTACAACCACACCCCTGATATGTCCTCCCCAACTCCGCTGCTGAACTTGCCTGGTGATTGTTTGAGGTTACTGTTTTCTATGCTATTGTCCCCAGGAGTAAGAACTAGAACAGTTGTTCACAGCAGAGCGGAATGTGCCCCCTAAAGGACATTCAGCAAGCTTTAGAGGTGTTTTGAGTTGTGTTGACTGGGGTAGAAGAGACATAAAGTCTCTGTGAGGTTACTTAGCTAATAAACTACATTGCCCGGGATAGCGTCACAGAACCAAAGAATCTCTGGTCCAAATCGACAGTATAGAAGAGCCTTGAAACAGCAACTGAGAACTGCCCGGCTTCTGCAGCTAGTCCTAGGAACATCCAGTTCCTACATTTTATGTCAGTTCAGAGTGCACAGTCATGTGCAGATGCACATAATGTAACTAAGTTTAAAGTCTTCCTCCCAAGTACCTACCTTTCCCACACAAGAAACACGAGCCAGGGTCACACGAAGCCATCTACATCTTCTGAACTGAGCAGCCCAGGAGCCAAAGGACTGGGGAGGGATTTTGTCTCATCCCCTCTGTGATGGCTCTGCTGTCCAAGGTCAATAGAACACCAGTCCTTCATTACTCTGGGATCAGGGCTGCTCTGTTTATGTCCTCAAAGTGAAGGCACATGGCCAGCTGTAACTGGTTTGGTGCATTTGCTCATTCATGGTCACCGATAGATGAGAAATGAAGACAAGAAGACCTTCCTGGGGGGCATGCCTTTAATCTCAGCATATGAGAGACAAAGGCAGGTGGATTTTTGTGAGTTCAAGGCCAGTCTGGTCTACAAAGTGAATTCCAGGGCAGCTATGGTTGTTACACACAGAAACTCTGTCTCAAAAAAACAAGAGAGAGAGAGACAAAGACAGAGACAGAGAGACCCTCCCCCTGGAAGCTGCCCATGAAGAAGGCAGACTTCCCTCCTCTCGTGTTGTGTTATTACTTACATCCCAAAGCTCAGTCTCCCTGGGATTGACCTCTTTGCTTTTCCCTTCATAGTTAGTGAAACCACAGTTGCTGCCATGGCCGGGAAGCCCGTGCTTCACTACTTCAATGCCCGGGGCAAAATGGAATGCATCAGGTGGCTGCTGGCTGCAGCAGGGGTGGAGGTAGGTTGTGCATTGTGCTTCTGGAACCGGACCTAAGATAAGTTTAAAATACTTCTCTAAGCTGAGAGACTTCACACTAGCAAAATTGTGCACATTTCATGTTAAATGATAATCTTCATGTATTGAAAAGGTGGACTGATTTGCACAAATGAAAATTTTATTGCATTTTCTGCCAAAGAACACATTCACATTAAAAGCTGTTTTCAGGTGAAAAAAAATCAAACAATTACTTATTTGGTTAATTAGCTATTTGCATTGAATCAAAGTTATATAATGAGACATACAGAAATAGAAACTTGAATATTGATTATTAGGCAATACAAATTGATTGTTGCAGATTATGGTATGATATTGTGATTTTAGGTATGGCACTGTTATTTTAAAAAGAGACTTATATTTGGCTAGCCTGGTCAACAGAGCAAGTTTCAGGACAGCCAGGTATATTACAAAGAAAAATCCTGTTTCGAAAAACTCAAAGGGGGGAAAAAGAGACTTACATTTGGAGGTTCACGGTGAGGTGTTTGTGAGAGGGACATGTGACACCTCAGCGCTGACATTAAGGTCAGAGTCGCAGAGAAGATGGGCACAGAGGTGAATAAGGTGACTTTAGCTGGTGGTTGTTGGAGCTGGCGATTGATGGATGGAGGCTCTTTGCAACTTGTGTGCAGTTTTACAGCACAGACCCAGGAATTTCCATGATAAAAATGGTTTAGAGGGGACAGGAGACAGAAGTGACAGCTCAGTGGTCAAAATCCAATGCTGTTCTTGCAGAGGACCCACACGGGCTGCTCACAACTGCCTGTTACCCTGGCCTCAGAGGGTTCCCGTGCCTCTGATCTCCATGGGCACTTACACTGCCTCCCGCTACACTCCTATAATACAAAAAATGTTAAAAGGGTAAACTATAAAAGAGACACTTAACAGATTTAAATTAAAGATATACACCACAAATGGGAAACTTGACACAGAAGGCAGTAACAACCCTCCTGTCAAACCTGATCAATACTCAGTAATCAGTTTGTAGAGACTATCAAATGCCAGGCCCAGGCCTGGTTGGGAGGGTAGGTGGTGAATAAAACAGAGGCCCCATCTTCAGGTGGCCCCCATGTCTGTGAGCTTTCATCTAAGTGTGTGAGTGGTCCAAGTGAGGTGTGGAAGCAGCATTCTGAGGTTAAATGTTTTCCTTTCCAGTTTTAGAGCAGAAAGTTCTGGTAGGCTTTAGTGCTGCCCTCTAGAGGTGTCACTGGGAAAAACACTACCCAGTTCACATCAGGGCAGCTCAGTAGTTGGCATTTCCTGAGAGGAAGTCAGGGGCACTCCCTGAGATCTTGACCTCAGGAGGCTTGAAGGATGAAGTGGTGTCCTGTGAAGGCTGCTTTGGTGTCTTCCCTCAGTGTCATGGCAACGTGTTTACCTCAGCTATGGAATCACACATCCATTCCTAAAGGAATAGGGAGGGCTTCAGCTGGATCCTTTCTGAATGAAGGGGTGCATAAGAACCGAGACACACTAGTGCCAGTCCGGGAGGAATGCTTTAAATAATTGAATAATTGGGCGCCAGTGTCTGTATGCCAGCTTTTCGGCTCAGGGATATGTTCTAAGCCACTGGACTGCTGATTCAGCACAGGAGGAGGGGGTGGGGCATCTGCATAGACGCCTTCCTGTTCCGTGTCCCAGAGTGACTGAGAAGGCAGTGGGCAGGGGCTATTAGAGACCCTGGCTCACACCTTCCAGACTCAATGTGCCCACAGGCCGCCCATTGACCTCATCACCCTCACACCCACCAACCCCATCACAGTTCAGCCGCCCTCCCTGATGACGTCAGCACTCTCTGCAGCTCTCTGAAAGCTGTGCAAGTTGTCGACACTCACATTTCATTCCCATCAGTTCAGTCCGGGCGGTTACGGAGTCATCCGCAAACTGCCTCGCCAAGCAAAGAAGAAGCTGATTTTCAGCCTTTCATGATTGAAAAGTTTCTTTAAACTGAGAAAGGAAGAGAGTGGCTTATTACTCTAGAGGGCTGGAGAGATGGCTGGGTGACTAAAGATTAAGCCACATGGGTTCGGATCCCAGGAACCCATGTAAAAGGTCAGAGTGAATTTTCATTGGGTATGTGTATCCTTACACAAAAATATATTAATACGTATACATAAAACAAATAACTATTTAAAAAATACAACAGTGGTCCCAGGTTGTAAGTAACTTTGATGCGGGGCTAGAGTAATGGCTTGGCTGCTTAGAGTTCTTATTCCACATACAGACAACCGACTATGGTTCCCAGCACACATGACAGTTAATAACTGCCCGTCACTCCATTTCTAATAGAACCTCTAACCTCTGGCTTCTGACCTCCGAGACGGATGTACTCACATGTTCAAGGCCACACATAGACACACAGACACACATACAAAAAGACACATACACAAAATTAGTAAAACTATATCCTGAAGAAAGAAACTCAGATGATCATGGGCTCATACCATGTGCCATAATGGAGACACAGAAAGTTCTGTTCTGTTCTTGCTGACATTAACAGGCTTTCCTGAGAGCCCAAAACCTCAACAGTCCATTTCCCAATGCTGGTGCTCCCATGAGATCACTCTCTTCTTAGGACCTAAGCATGGACATAGTGGGGTCAGGGAGGAGGAACACTACAAGAATGAGCAGCTTTGTTATGGTCAACACCCTTTTGCTGATGGATCTAATCTGAATTTCCAAGTGGCCATGATCAGGCCCCTTTGTGTCTACTTCAGGTTTTAACTTCGGCAGACACAGACCTCTCATATTCAAATGATACAGAATGAGCTAATGAGAATGCATTGACTTTTTCTGCTTTCAGTTTGAAGAGAAGTTTATAGAAAGTTCAGAAGATTTGGAAAAGTTAAGAAAAGGTAACACTAACTATTCATATATCCTCAATGAAGTGCCCAGTAGAAGGTTTACCAGAAGGTGATGGTGGTGGGTGGTGGATGGAAATAGCCAAGAAGGGCAGAGTGATAAGATGTAGGTGGTGGGTCTCCTCGAGTGCTCTGAAAATGGAAACAGTGAGAAAAGTGGGGTGCAGAATTCTACAAGAATTTGTGTGGTGAATTGTGAATGTTTTCTCCTTATTTCTGCATCAGAGTGAGCTCTTTCATTCAAGGTCACTCTCACCCACTTACTCAGTCAGGGTTTCACCCCAATGTTTAATAACCGCACAAGTACATGGCCATTGATTAAATCATAGGTTGAGAAACAGCTGGGGTGATTTTCTTGAGTTATTTTCATTATAGCTACTGATGAGTTACTGTCCCCCAATAAATACAGGCTGGAGGAATTCATGGTGGCTCACTATATAGCAACCTGTCACATAGCACCTAAACATCATGAACATAATTAGATTTTCAAACACCCTACTTAGTCCTGTTTGCATGGTGGCCCTCTGCTGTCCCTCCTCATCTTCCAAACGTACCCAGGGACATGAATTAAACATAAAAACATGCATGAGAGATATGATATGCATTTGGATAGGAATTAACAGTGAATGAGAGAAACTCAAAAGCCAACAGAAGATCATGAGACAAAGAGGATGCAGGAGCTAAAAGTACATGGGATTTTAATTAAAGACTGGCTGCCAATCACTTATCTTTCCTTTGAATGATCAGACATTTCAATACAACTTTTCTGTTCCTGAGACGTGAGACTTGCACACATTTTTTTTTTTCCTTTCTTCTTTCAAAGATGGGAACCTGATGTTTGAGCAAGTGCCCCTGGTGGAGATTGACGGGATGATGCTGGTGCAGACCAGAGCCATTCTCAATTACATCGCCACCAAATACGACCTCTACGGCAAGGACGCGAAGGAGAGAGCCCTGTACGGTACATTTCCTGTTATTACTCCAAGGGGAAACGAAGGAAGGAATTGGTGTCTCCATCAATGAGCAAGAGAGTGGCAGGCTTTGAGTCTAGGAGCAGGCTGGTGATGGATATGAACACTTAGACTAAGTAGGAAGAGTCCATGGAGGAGAGGGAGGAGCAGCTGGGGTGGGTTCAGGTGAGTGTGACTGCAGCAGAGGATGATGTTGCCAGCACAGCATGGGGACAGAGTTGCAAACATGATGTTCCAAGGGCCCTGAGCATGGTGGAATCAGGACTCCAGGTGCTCAAGGCTTCAGTGACTGGATCTCAGCCAACAGCTTAGGACAAAGGACACAGGGCTTGAGGCTAGAGGAGGAGTCCTAGGGAGGGAAGGGGGAAGGAGCTGCTTCCCACATCCCAGGAGTAGGAATAGTGCAGAGCAAGACCTGAATTGCCAGCCTGTTCTACGGACTGGTCAACTCAATGAGCCTTAGAGAGACCGGTTCCCAAGGACCAAGATTACCTATAGCATTTAATTCAGAACTAAAGCAGCCAAGCTGACTGTACCACCCATGCTGGGACTCACTGTGATGTGACAAAATCCTTCATTCATAGACCACTGTGTGTATGAGTATTGTAGTTGCTCAGAGAGCTAAATGTGGTGCTAGCCAGCAACACTAGTGTGGGAAACATATGTCCATGGAAAGAGAGACTCGGCTTTAATAGTGCTTATATAGAAATACTCCTAGCAGCATGTAAACATTCTTAGACTGTTATGGATGCTTTGAAACACAGAATACCACCTTTTCAGGAGTTATCAACGATAGTGTGTGAAAATGTGACAATGAAACTCTTTTCCAAAAGCACTGTATAAAATACAGTGTAGAACAAGGGAACATATGTGTCTTGTGGTTTAACTGAGTAAAGAAACAGACAAGTCTTGACAAATGTTAACAAGGCCAGAATCCAGCAGCGGTGTGTGGAGGACATACAGATGTGCTTTATGAGAAATGACTGGAGAACCTCTAACACTGACCAAGAATGACTCTGGGTCATGCAGCAGAAGGAGAGATGGGCAGATACCCATCTGGTGGTTCAACCAGGGCTCTGTGTTGAAATCACATGGGAGGCAGCTTGTTAGCTCTGAGAATCCCTGCATGGTTGTTGAGAACAAATCATGCCAGTGAACAGAGACAGACAGAGAGACAGAGAGACAGAGAGAGGCAGACAGAGACAGACAGTGAGAGACAGAGAAACAGAAGGAAACAGACACAGTCAACACAGAGAGAGAAGACAGACAGACACACAGACAGACAGACACAGAGACACAGACACAGAGACACAGACACACACAGACACACACACACACCCACACACAGACACACACACACACACACACACACACACACACACACACACACACACACACACACACACAGTGATAGAGAGAAAGAGAAACAGCCTGGTGTAGAGTTGATGGTTGTCACCTCAGATGCCAACAAGTTTATCAGAGCTCCATCTCTAGTCGGGCCAGTGATGCTCTTTGTGCTTTGGATGGGTCATGTATGTGTAACAAAAATTCTGAAAGTGTATCTGGTTGGAAAGGGTGTTCTAGGGAGAAAGTTAATATATCTGTTAAATACAAGGATAATGATCCACTAGAGGTGAATAAGTTTGAAACCACATTTCAGTGTAAATTTCTGAGGTTTTTAGATTAAAATATAAAATAGTGAATCCCTGAACACACTGACCAATTGGATATTTTGTCTTTCAGGATTGACATGTATACAGAAGGTATTGTAGATCTGAGTGACATGATCATGCAACTGATACTATGTCCCCCAGACCAAAAAGAAGCCAAGATTTCCTTGATAAAAGACAGGACCAAAAACCGGTACTTGCCTGCCTTTGAAAAAGTAAGTAGGCTCTTTGAAGTCAGGGGACACTGAGTTCCAAGGACAAGAGAAAGGTAGAGTCTGGGAGAGAAAGGTTGCTGCAGTGCTGACCTTCCATGAGCCTCTCTGTGCAGCCCCCTGCCCCACAGGGCACTGTGGAAAATGGCCTGTGAAGGAGCCCTGCATGGTCATCCCAATCTAGGGGTCAGTATGCAACAGGGTTCATGGCCACAACCAGAATTTGATCTGTGGAAGGCTGAGCCACACCAGAGATGGACCCAGATCCTGCAGAACACAATGGGCTTCAATGCCAGAGGAAACTAAGAAAAACACAGATGGGGAAATATTCTGTCATCACACAGGAGACCAGAGAGTGACTGGCTGTCAGGAGAATATGGTAGTGCTTCAAAGACAGAGGAGAAGTACCTGAACAAGGACAGGGATGGAGGGTGGAGAAGAGGAAGATGATGAAGAGATGTTAAGGAAAACTGACCTGCCGTAATTGGGGTCACAGATGCAGGGCTTGGAGGAGAGCCATGCACACTCAGCAAATGAAGGCGTGTCAGTGACATGGAGTGCCTCTCTTAGTCAGGGCTTCTCTTTGGAGGAAGATCAAGAACATTTCAGAACTACTTGATCTTCTGTCAAATAAAAGATAAGAACAGAGCTATGATCCTAGAGGATAAGGACATCCTACACATTCCTGAGAGACCTGACTGTGACCCCCATGTTACATAGCATCACCTTATATTTTATCCATTCACTGAAAATTCATTCACTGCTGTCTCTGCTCTGTGGAAGCTGCCAGGGTTTTAGGAGCCATCAGGTCCTCACAGAGCCATCTGGAGTCAAGGCCCTGTCTCCTAGGACATAATGTTCATCCATGACAGCTTACAGAGATTTATGACCTCTATGCACACAATGAACTATATACTGAGAATATTTGATGCTGCCTTTTGTATTTTTAGTTTTTCTTCTCTCTCTCTCTCTCTCTCTCTCTCTCTCTCTCTCTCTCTCTCTCTCTCTTTCTTTTTTGATAGGGTCTCTTTATTATATAGCTCTGGCTCTTCTGGAACTCTCCTAGTGGACTGGCCTTGAGCTCACAAAGATCCACCTGCCTCAGCCTCTTGAGTGCCGGGATTAAATGTGTGTGTCACCCTGCCTGGCTTCCTTTTGCTTTTGGATGTGCTAATTATATTTTTCTCTGTAGACATGTACAGTGTGATAAGGTGACCACAAAGCCTTTTATAGGTCTTTACTTGTAGTTCATGATTTTAGAAGTGCTTTTCCTTGTGGTTGTCTATGATTTTCATATTTCTGGGATATTTAAGTAAATGCCATATGAAAGTAACTAAGACAGTGTCATTATTCAATCATCACACAACCAGAAATGTTGAAATAAATGTTAAATAAATACATAGCTGCCAATCAGATAGCAAGATTAGCACCATATGTTGTTGGCATGCTTGTCTGTCAACATTCATGTGTTATCAGTACAATGTTACTTACCGACTCCAAATCAGTTCACCCTGTGCAATCAGCATGTCAATCACGACACAGTGAAGGTTGGCAGTCAGAGCCAATGCTGTAAAGGGGAGGGTGTGCTGTAGTTCAGTCAGGTGTACTTCAGATTCCACAGATCCCAGGAGAGCAGACAAAGGAGAAAGCAGACACGGGATGTTCTCTGGTGACTGATGCTCCCTGCAGATGGAGCCTCTGCCCAAGAGAGATTGAACAGAGGAAAGGGAGAGGAATGTCCTGAAATTTCAGTGCTCCATCAGTTTAAAATAAGGAGAAGAACCATGATGTGTCAAGGCTACGCCCTTACCATATGTGGAAAATATACAGAAGGGTGGATGCTGTGAAGGCCATAGGAATTGGCAATGACAGAGAAAGGTCACCTGAGCTTTAAAGAGGAGGTCGCACACCTGACTTCTCCCTCTCCCTCTTGTATCATAGGCCTAGAGAAATGTCTGCACTTCTATCCCTGCCAGGTAGAGGCAGAGTGTCCCTTGGGGGACTTGGGAAAAGTCAGTGGTCCCTGCCTAACTCTATGTTCATAATCTGTCTCCTTTAATTTTGCAGGTATTGAAGAGTCACGGACAAGACCACCTTGTTGGCAACAGGCTGACCAGGGTGGACATTCACCTGCTGGAACTTCTCCTCTATATTGAAGAGTTTGACTCCAGCCTTCTGGCCCCTTTCCCCCTGCTGAAGGTGAGATCACCTCAGAGAGGCAGCCACACCCACATGCCTCTGGAATATAATGGTGGCCTGGGGGCTACTGAGGGCCCATCCTCGGGCCTCCAAACTGAGCTACTGGACCCTGGTTTCAGGCATGAAAATTATCTTTTGTGTATGGAGATTGGAGGCTGGCACCCCAAGAAGAATATTTTACCATTTGTAACGAGAAAGACACAGGACCCCCAGCTCTCTCCCTGGACCCCTGTTTTTTGCAGGATGCTTCTGGCCTTCATCCTCCATCTCACGTGTCCTGTCTTTGCACATTCAGTGTCTGAGCAGGTCTCTGTCATGCTGATCCCCTTCCTCAGCTCTGACTACTCAACACTGTGCTTCCCTCTCCACAGCCCCCACCATGCTGTCCTCCACCCCCAGGGACCCCATCCTTATCTTCAGGTGTGAAAACTGGCTGTGAGTTGCTCCTGGTTAGACTTTGAGCTTTTCTGGCTCCATTTCCAACTCAGTTTTTCTGTCTTCAGTTTTCTTTGGTAGTCTCTGCTTTCACACCTGAGAGACACAGTGCTCTGTGCTCTGCACCACAAAACCAGATCTATAGTGTGTGTCAGGGACCTGAGGAGAAGGTAATTGGATGTCAAAGGAGATATTAAGGAACATTATCTGAACTATGGTTTCAGCTCATGGTTTTATCATTCTTCTCATGTCTACACGGGAACTGTTATAAGGATGTAGTTGGTCGTGTTCCGGGAGGGGCACAGAGTTTTTTGGACTGTTCACATAAGCCGTTCTGACTCTCAGGCTGTATTTTCTGGATTACAGGCCCTGAAGAGCAGACTCAGCAGCCTGCCCAATGTGAAGAAGTTCCTACAGCCTGGCAGCCAGAGAAAGCCTCCCACAGATGAGAAAACAATTGAAAAGGCAAAGAAGGTTTTCAATATTAAGTAAAGCTGAGTGACGGAGGGAATAGATGCAAGTCTCTGATGTTTTGCAAAAATGAGAAGCAGCTGTGTATCACGGCTAGTTTGAGATAATAAACATGAACAAATGGTGTGTATGTGTCATGTGTTCAAATTGTTGACCCGGGACTGCAGGTATAACCTAGTTAGGGGAAGGCAAACAGTCATTACCACAAACAAAAGCAAAGCTTGTAAAAATTAGGAAAACCTAAATAAAAAGAACACTAGCAAAGGAAATGAGTGACCTCCTCCACTGTGACCTCCTCCACTGTGTCCTCCACTGTGACCTCCTCCACTGTGACCTCCTCCACTGTGACCTCCTCCACTGTGTCCTCCTCCACTGTGTCCTCCACTGTGACCTCCTCCACTGTGTCCTCCTCCACTGTGAACTCCTCCACTGTGTCCTCCTCCACTGTGTCCTCCACTGTGTCCTCCTCCACTGTGACCTCCTCCACTGTGACCTCCTCCACTGTGACCTCCTCCACTGTGACCTCCTCCACTGTGACCTCCACTGTGACCTCCTCCACTGTGACCTCCTCCACTGTGTCCCCCTCCACTGTGACCTCCTCCACTGTGACCTCCTCCACTGTGTCCTCCACTGTGACCTCCACCACTGTGACCTCCTCCACTGTGACCTCCTCCACTGTGACCTCCACTGTGTCCTACTCCACTGTGACCTCCTCCACTGTGACCTCCACTGTGACCTCCTCCACTGTGACCTCCTCCACTGTGTCCTCCTCCACTGTGACCTCCTCCACTGTGACCTCCTCCACTGTGTCCTCCTCCACTGTGTCCTCCTCTACTGTGTCCTCCTCCACTGTGTCCTCCACTCCGACCTCCTCCACTGTGTCCTCCTCCACTGTGTCCTCCTCCACTGTGTCTTGCTCCACTGTGTCCTCCACTCCGACCTCCTCCACTGTGTCCTCCTCCACTGTGTCCACCTCCACTGTGTCCTCCTCCACTGTGTCCTCCTCCACTGTGTCCTCCTCCACTGTGTCCTCCACTCCGACCTCCTCCACTGTGTCCTCCTCCACTGTGTCCTCCTCCACTGTGACCTCCTCCACTGTGACCTCCTCCACTGTGTCCTCCTCCACTGTGACCTCCTCCACTGTGACCTCCTCCACTGTGTCCTCCTCCACTGTGTCCTCCTCTACTGTGTCCTCCTCCACTGTGTCCTCCACTCCGACCTCCTCCACTGTGTCCTCCTCCACTGTGTCCTCCTCCACTGTGTCTTGCTCCACTGTGTCCTCCACTCCGACCTCCTCCACTGTGTCCTCCTCCACTGTGTCCTCCTCCACTGTGTCCTCCTCCACTGTGTCCTCCTCCACTGTGTCCTCCTCCACTGTGTCCTCCACTCCGACCTCCTCCACTGTGTCCTCCACTGTGAACTCCTCCACTGTGACCTCCTACACTGTGTCCTCCACTGTGTCCTCCACTGTGACCTCCTCCACTGTGTCCTCCACTGTGTCCTCCACTGTGACCTCCTCCACTGTGTCCTCCACTGTGTCCTCCTCCACTTTGACCTCCTCCACTGTGACCTCCTCCACTGTGACCTCCTCCACTGTGTCCTCCTCCACTGTGAACTCCTCCACTGTGACCTCCTCCACTGTGTCCTCCTCCACTGTGTCCTCCTCCACTGTGACCTCCTCCACTGTGACCTCCTCCACTGAACTCCTCCACTGTGTCCTCCTCCACTGTGACCTCCTCCACTGTGTCCTCCTCCACTGTGACCTCCTCCACTGTGACCTCCTCCACTGTGTCCTCCTCCACTGTGACCTCCTCCACTGTGTCCTCCTCCACTGTGTCCTCCTCCACTGTGACCTCCTCCACTGTGTCCTCCACTGTGACCTCCTCCACTGTGACCTCCTCCACTGTGTCCTCCACTGTGACCTCCTCCACTGTGAACTCCTCCACTGTGTCCTCCTCCACTGTGTCCTCCTCCACTGTGTCCTCCTCCACTGTGACCTCCTCCACTGTGTCCTCCACTGTGACCTCCTCCACTGTGACCTCCTCCACTGTGTCCTCCACTGTGACCTCCTCCACTGTGTCCTCCTCCACTGTGTCCTCCTCCACTGTGACCTCCTCCACTGTGTCCTCCTCCACTGTGTCCTCCTCCACTGTGACCTCCTCCACTGTGTCCTCCACTGTGACCTCCTCCACTGTGACCTCCTCCACTGTGACCTCCTCCACTGTGTCCTCCACTGTGTCCTCCTCCACTGTGACCTCCTCCACTGTGACCTCCTCCACTGTGTCCTCCACAGTGACCTCCTCCACTGTGTCCTCCTCCACTGTGTCCTCCTCCACTGTGACCTCCTCCACTGTGACCTCCTCCACTGTGACCTCCTCCACTGTGTCCTCCACTGTGACCTCCTCCACTGTGTCCTCCTCCACTGTGTCCTCCTCCACTGTGTCCTCCACTGTGACCTCCTCCACTGTGACCTCCTCCACTGTGACCTCCTCCACTGTGACCTCCTCCACTGTGTCCTCCTCCACTGTGACCTCCTCCACTGTGACCTCCTCCACTGTGTCCTCCTCCACTGTGACCTCCTCCACTGTGTCCTCCACTGTGACCTCCTCCACTGTGACCTCCTCCACTGTGACCTCCTCCACTGTGACCTCCTCCACTGTGTCCTCCTCCACTGTGTCCTCCTCCACTGTGAACTCCTCCACTGTGACCTCCTCCACTGTGTCCTCCTCCACTGTGACCTCCTCCACTGTGACCTCCTCCACTGTGTCCTCCACTGTGTCCTCCTCCACTGTGACCTCCTCCACTGTGACCTCCTCCACTGTGTCCTCCACTGTGACCTCCTCCACTGTGACCTCCTCCACTGTGACCTCCTCCACTGTGTCCTCCACTGTGTCCTCCTCCACTGTGTCCTCCTCCACTGTGTCCTCCTCCACTGTGACCTCCTCCACTGTGTCCTCCACTGTGTCCTCCTCCACTGTGACCTCCTCCACTGTGTCCTCCTCCACTGTGACCTCCTCCACTGTGACCTCCTCCACTGTGTCCTCCTCCACTGTGACCTCCACCACTGTGTCCTCCTCCACTGTGTCCTCCACTGTGTCCTCCTCCACTGTGTCCTCCACCACGGTGTCCTCCTCCACTGTGACCTCCTCCACTGTGACCTCCTCCACTGTGTCCTCCACTGTGACCTCCTCCACTGTGACCTCCTCCACTGTGTCCTCCTCCACTGTGTCCTCCACTGTGACCTCCTCCACTGTGACCTCCTCCACTGTGTCCTCCTCCACTGTGTCCTCCACTGTGACCTCCTCCACTGTGACCTCCTCCACTGTGACCTCCTCCACTGTGTCCTCCTCCACTGTGTCCTCCTCCACTGTGACCTCCTCCACTGTGACCTCCTCCACTGTGTCCTCCATTGTGACCTCCTCCACTGTGACATCCTCCACTGTGTCCTCCTCCACTGTGTCCTCCTCCACTGTGACATCCTCCACTGTGACCTCCTCCACTGTGTCCTCCACTGTGTCCTCCTCCACTGTGTCCTCCTTCACTGTGACCTCCTCCACTGTGACCTCCTCCACTGTGAACTCCTCCACTGTGTCCTCCTCCACTGTGACCTCCTCCACTGTGTCCTCCTCCACTGTGACCTCCTCCACTGTGTCCTCCACTGTGACCTCCTCCACTGTGACCTCCGCCACTGTGTCCTCCACTGTGACCTCCTACACTGTGTCCTCCTCCACTGTGTCCTCCTCCACTGTGACCTCCTCCACTGTGACCTCCTCCACTGTGACCTCCTCCACTGTGTCCTCCACTGTGTCCTCCTCCACTGTGTCCTCCTCCACTGTGTCCTCCTCCACTGTGTCCTCCTCCACTGTGACCTCCTCCACTGTGTCCTCCTCCACTGTGTCCTCATCCACTGTGACCTCCTCCACTGTGACCTCCTCCACTGTGTCCTCCACTGTGTCCTCCTCCACTGTGTCCTCCTCCACTGTGTCCTCCTCCACTGTGTCCTCCTCCACTGTGTCCTCATCCACTGTGACCTCCTCCACTGTGTCCTCCTCCACTGTGTCCTCCTCCACTGTGTCCTCCACTGTGACCTCCTCCACTGTGACCTCCTCCACTGTGTCCTCCACTGTGTCCTCCTCCACTGTGACCTCCTCCACTGTGTCCTCCTCCACTGTGTCCTCCACTGTGTCCTCCTCCACTGTGACCTCCTCCACTGTGTCCTCCTCCACTGTGTCCTCCTCCACTGTGTCCTCCTCCACTGTGTCCTCCTCCACTGTGACCTCCACTGTGTCCTCCTCCACTGTGTCCTCCACTGTGACCTCCTCCACTGTGTCCTCCTCCACTGTGTCCTCCACTGTGTCCTCCTCCACTGTGACCTCCTCCACTGTGTCCTCCTCCACTGTGTCCTCCTCCACTGTGACCTCCTCCACTGTGTCCTCCACTGTGACCTCCTCCACTGTGTCCTCCTCCACTGTGTCCTCCTCCACTGTGACCTCCTCCACTGTGACCTCCTCCACTGTGTCCTCCACTGTGACCTCCTTCACTGTGTCCTCCTCCACTGTGACCTCCTCCACTGTGTCCTCCTCCACTGTGACCTCCTCCACTGTGACCTCCTCCACTGTGTCCTCCACTGTGTCCTCCTCCACTGTGACCTCCTCCACTGTGACCTCCTCCACTGTGTCCTCCTCCACTGAGACCTCCACCACTGTGTCCTCCTCCACTGTGTCCTCCACTGTGTCCTCCTCCACTGTGACCTCCACCACTGTGTCCTCCTCCACTGTGTCCTCCACTGTGACCTCCTCCACTGTGTCCTCCTCCACTGTGACCTCCTCCACTGTGACCTCCTCCACTGTGACCTCCACTGTGACCTCCTTCACTGTGTCCTCCTCCACTGTGACCTCCTCCACTGTGACCTCCTCCACTGTGTCCTCCTCCACTGTGACCTCCTCCACTGTGTCCTCCTCCACTGTGTCCTCCTCCACTGTGACCTCCTCCACTGTGTCCTCCTCCACTGTGACCTCCTC